AAAACGAATAACTGTAGACACATGAGAATTTCACTGAATGTTTAAATTAGCATTTCCTGTACACCATACATTGTTGAAAATATTATGACACTTTTTGAGATTTTTACGGACATTTTCAATTTTCAATTTTAGATTCTGAGTGAAACGATGAATGCATTGATTTTACAATGATGTGTGTTTTTTTATTTTTTTTATTATTTTATTTTTTTTGTGTCTGTGTACACGATAAGTAGTCGAAATAATGCTTCGATTTTCAACTTCAATATCTTGTTCGATTGAAAAGTGAATATTGTTGATGCATTGAGAAGGTCAAAAGTAAAAATTTCCAGTAGTTTTCAAAAGAGCCGAGAAAAACAAAAGAAAAATTAAGGAAAAACGGGAAAAACGGGAATTTTTACGCAAAATCTGTTTTCGAGAAAATCGATTTTGGTTTTTGGTGTAACTTTCAAACAAATGACCGTAGATACATGCATTTTTCAGTGGTTGTTTATACTTGCATTTTCTATACACGATAACATTTTCAAATTATTTTGATTTATTTTGAACTGTTTAGGGACATTTTCAGTTTAACATTTTATTAGTTTTTTTTTTATGAATATCAATAAAAATTTATTTGTTGAGTAAAAATACTTGAAAATTTAATACAAGGCTCCAACTACAAAGACATTTTAAAAATATTAAAAATCGTTAGTCACAGTTCTTTTATTTAAGCATTTAAAGTTCAAAAAATGACAAAATATGGAAAAATCACGAAAATTTGCAAATTATTTTGAGTTAGAAATTCATAAAATTTTTTCTTTTTAAATCTAAGGTATGAAAATGTAATACAAGATTCTTTATAAAATTTCCTACATTTATCAAAAAAAAAAATTCTATAAGAAAGTCAAATTAAATTTTTATGAGCGTTTGAAATTCAAATTTTTACAACATTGGATATTCACTCCATTTCTCATGTGGCGATTTTCTTATTTTGTTGTTATTCAAAAACGAAATACTGTAGATACATGAAAATTTCACTGAATGTTTATATTAGCATTTCCTATACACCATACAATTTTGAAAATATTTTGACTCTTTTTGAGCCGTTTACGGACATTTTCAGTTTTCAATTTTTTTAGTTTTTTTTTCTATAAATATCAATTAAGTTTTATCTGTTGGGCCAAAAAGTGTAAAAAATTAATACAAGGCTCCTGATATATTGTTACAATAAGCAATTGAAAAATATTAAAAATACATAGGCACAATTTTTTTTTATAAGCATTTAAAGATCGCATTTTGACAAAATTTATCAAAATCTCGAAAATTGTCAATCATCGTAATTAATAAATTATAAAATGTTCAGTTTTTATAGCTAAGGATTGAAAATTAAAAAAAAAGATTCTCATAAATAGTTCATACTGTAGCCAAAAAATCTAAAAAATATATGAGCACAGTTATTTTTTACAGACATTTTAAGTTCAAATTTGGGACGAAATTACATATTAAAAAACCTAGCATACCTATTTTAGTTATTTTGTTGTGAGTGTATAATACTATTCGTGGGTACTTGAAACTTCTAAAGTATACTACTATCTGTCTGTGATAGTATCACGGTTTGTTATTGATGTATAACCCATTATAAGTACCTAATGGATATTGTGAAATGATTATTATGGAATTTATTATAGGTACCTATTATAGGTTAATTTTTTTTAATACCATAGATTTGTATATAATAAGTCTTATACCTAGACTGACATTCCGTCTCCGCTCAGAATCGTTTTTCTTATACAATGATATTATATCATTGAATTCAAATTTAATACCATCTATTATACATTTGACACGGTACGCAGCGGCAACCAGTACAAAGTACAGGTACCGCAGCGGCCGGTCTACGCTTTTGTCAACCGCCACCACGGGCTACAGCGCGACATCGCCAACTCTCCCACCACGCCACAAAGGCACAAGGCGGGACGGGAAGGCAAGTCGCGCAATACGAGTACCGGCCGCCGGCAGCTCGGCCTCTCGACCACCATAACTCGACGCACGTGAAACAACACGCCATCTCACTTCCTGATTGTGATATTTAATTTGTGTTTCCGTGATACTGTTCTGTTTCTTTTAAATAAACGTCACCAACTGACATTACCGTCCACCCAAAGACGCGTGTATTATTACGTGGTGAATACCCGAGATATATATATCCAACTTCAACAAAACCACCCGAGACGGACTACCGCGACACACATCACCGCCGTAGCCCGCGTCACATTGACCCACTTGTAATCTATTGTACAGCAGAGCATTTTTAATATTTATAAACGTTAGAGTAAAAAAAGGTGCTCTGCTGTACAGTAGGTTATAAGTGGGCCACTGTATAATGGATGATATTAAATTTGAATTCAATGATATAATATCAGTCAGACTATGATATCACAAAGTATATTTGATGATACTAAGGTGAATAAGTAATTTATATATAACTTATTTATGTGGAATCTTGTTTTAAATTTTCAATCCTAAGCTATAAAATTACACATTTTATAATTTATTAATTACGATGATTGACAATTTTCGAGATTTTGATAAATTTTGTCAAAATGCGATATTTAAATGCTTATAAAAAAAAATTGTGCCTATGTATTTTTAATATTTTTCAATTGCTATTGTAACAATATATCAGGACCCTTGTATTCATTTTTTACACTTTTTGGCCCAACAGATTAAACTTTATTGATATTTATTGATACTCGAAATAATCTGCAAATTTTCGTAATTTTTACGTATTTTGTCAATATTTGAACTTTAAATGCTTATAACAAAAAACTGTGAACGATTTTTAATATTTTTTAAATGTCAGTGTAACAATATAGTAAGAGCCTTGTATTAAATTTTCAAATATTTTAATCAACAAATAAAGTTTTATTGACGTTCATAGAAAAAAAACTAATATACAATTTTAAACTGAAAATGTCCCTAAACAGTTCAAAATAAATGAAAAGATTTTGAAAATTTTATCGTGTATAGAAATGCAAATATAAACAACCAGTGAAAATTTCATGTATCTACGATAATTTGTTTTAATGTTACACCAAAAACCAAAGTCGATTTTCATAAAAATTCCGTTTTTCCTTAATTTTTATTTTATTTTTGTTGGCGCTTTTGAAAACTATTGGGAATTTTAAATTTTGACCTCCCAAAAGTACCAAATAGATTCACTTTCCCATCGAACAAGTTACTGAAGTTGAAAATCTAAAGATTATTTCGACTACTAATTGTGTACACAGACACAAAAAAAAAACACACACATCATTGTAAAATCAATACATTCATTGTTTCACTCAGAATCTATAAAACACATCATTGTAAAATCATTATACATTCATCGTTCCTCTTAGAATCTAAAATGACATTAATCTTCTAATTTAGTTTTATAATTGATCCATTACCACGAAGTTAACAAATAACAAGTAACAACTCACAATAATATTAATGTATCAGTAACGTGGCAATACAGTACCACACGAATCTGATATTATTGTGAATAGAGCAATGTATGAACCTATTTACGTGGAGCCTTGTATTAAATGTTCAATCCTTAGCTATAAAAGTTGAACATTTCATAAATTTTTAACTACAAAATAATTATTAAAATTTAAAATTTGATAAATGTTGTCAAAAATCAAACTTTAAATGCTTATAAAAGAAAATTGTGCGTTTGTATTTTTATTATTTTTCAACTCTTATTATAACAATATACCAGGTTCTTATTTATTTTTCACGTTTTTTGACCCAACAAATAATATTTTAATGACATTTATAGAAAAAAAACCAAAAAATGTAAAATGTCCTTACACAGCTCGATGTCCTTAAACAGTCAACATATTTTTACCAATATTTTAATAAATATTTTATATTTTTATTAAGAATGAGAATTGATAAAATAAACATATAATATAAATTTCATGTGTCTACAATTATTCGTTTTTGAATTACAACAAAATAAGAAAATTGGTACTTGAGAAATCATGTGAATATCCAATGTTGTAAAAATTTGAATTTCAAACGTTCATAAAAATGTTTGACTTTCAGGTAGACATTTTTTTTTCTTTGATAAATTAAGATAAACTTAAGAAGAATCCTAAAAAATCCTTGAATTTTCAAATCTTAGATTTAAAAAGGTAATTAAACTCAAAATAACTTGCATATTTTATTGATTTTTACCTTTTTTGTCAAAATTCGAACTTTAAATTTATAAAAGAAATTGTGACTGTATATTTTTAATATTTTTCAATTGTCATTTTAACAATATATTTGAAACGTAGTATTAAATTTTCAAACTATTTGACCAAACAAATAAAATTTGCTAAGCATTTAAAGTTTTGCAAGTTATTTTGATTTTATTTACATTTTAGAATCTCATCTAAAAATCTAATGAATGTATTGATTTTACAATGATGTGCCTTTTTTTATTTATTTTTTTATTTTTGTGTTTGTGTACACGATAAGTAGTCGAAATAATGCTAGTAGTCCGTCAAGCTTCACTTTCAACATTAAGTCCATGAGTTCCATCAATGCATACAATTTTTTGCTGTCCAAAATTGAGTAACATATATTTCTGTCCGGGATCCATTAAAATTATACAAACATCTTTCAAATCAAGCATGCGTCTGTCATCGACTTCACCTGAAATATTAAAAAAAAAAAATTGTTTAAGATTTTATTTAAAATAAAATGTAGTTGGTAATTGTTTAATAATAATAAAAATATTTCTAAATAATATATAAAATTCATTAAAACGTATAATCTACCTTGTCTTTTATAGTAAATCACACAGTTGTTCTCTTCTTCTTTCATTTGTTCAACCTATATGGCAACACTTGTGGCATCACTCTTATGGAATTGACCATCTTTTAAATTTAAATTTTACTTTTGTTTATTATTATGGAGATCTGATCGTGTAATTAAATCTTCTATCGTGTAATTCAAACTATTTCCTATATTTTCTCAAACATCATCTAATACTCTTTTAATTTGACACCCTGGGATAACTTAGCAGCAATTTCATGTTTTTTAATATCTGGTATTTTTATATGTTGAAGTTCGATTTCTTTGTGTTCATAATGTTCTTTATAAAAAGTGACTACACATTTACCTTCAAATGACTCAAATAGTATTATGTGGCTTGTACAATTTTGATTAATTTTTTTACTGTTCTGTGTTTTAATCATTCTTTTTGAGTTCTCTCCTCCTTTATGAAAACCTGTTCTGCAGCATTCATAATAATATCCTCGACCATCTTTACATTTTTGTTTGGTCTGTATTTTGAATGTATTCAATATCATTTTTAAATTCATAATCTCTTTTCCAGGCTTTAAATTCTAAATTGTTAAAATAATAATATGCTAAGATGTAAGTACCAAATTGTTTTCCACATATTTAAAAATGCTTAACTTTTCTAAATTATATCATCAAACTTGCCTAATACAATATTTGAAAATTCTATTATTTGTTTATTCAAATGATCGATTAGTAATGTCTTCTTTGAAAAATTAATATCACAATCATTACACTCAGACAATATTAACTCGATTTGACAACCCGGTTGACAACTTTTTTGATGTCTATTAAATGAAAACTTTGTTGAGAATCCAATTTGACAAATTTGACAATTAAAATTAATTTTATAAAAATTTTTAAAAGAGTTTATTTGGACTAGGACTGGATAGTTTTAAATTAGTCGAATATTTTTATTTTTATTCTTTGATAGTCATGCCTTTTATGATGAAAAAACCCCTCTGAATGAAAATAAATCATTATTTATAAACTTTTAAATATTAACTTTATAACATCTAATGAGATTACATTGTACAAATTTGAATTTAACGCTCTTATTATGTTATATAACTGACAACACCGGTTTTAACACCCGGTAATTGCATTGTTAGACCACGCGAATGTGTAGAATCATTGCACCATTCTGTATTTAGACGCCCCTCTATCTTATAGTGGTTTGGTAGATAAAAGTGAACTTTAATGTAACTGCAAGAAAATCGGTTAAATGCTATAAAAAGTTTTTTTCCATTTATTAGATATGACTGTTTTAAACTCCGAAATAATCACATTTCTTATTGATATGAAATATATATTTATTAACTTTTATTTTATAATTTTGATAAAACGACATATAAATTTATATATGATATATGTCACTCTAATATTTTACAATGATGTGCTTTTTTTTTATTTTTTAACATCACGGTTTGGGGTAGTAAAACCACTTCGATTATCTTCAACAGTATCTTGTTCCAAGGGAAAGTGAATCTAATAGTGGCCGCCCAGGTCATCCAGGTGCAATACGCTGTGAATCGGCCAACCATATACCTCCACCTGAGTCATTGTTGGGTGGACATTCTGGATCGTTCAATGGATATTGTGATAACTGGGCATACTTGAGTAGCATAAGTTAGTTGTAAGAGTATAACCAATTGTTGTGTGCTCTGTGGTCATTGCACCATACAGATCCCTAGATACAGATACAGAGATCCCTCTCCATATACTTAAACTTCATAATACTATTTCCCATCAGTGGTCTAAAAGGCCATAAAAAAAAAAAAAATAACTTATATCCTTCACACCCTCACGTTTTGGTGCGTTTTGGTTCCTCATTTTGGTTCATTGCTACCCACCATAACATCGTTCAGCTGTATGTTGAATTGCCTATATCTTCGAAGTAGGCGTTTTCATACTGTCGCTTCTGAAACGTTAATCGTGCATGCAAGTTTGGTTGCCTATCCTTGACGCCTTCAATCTTTTCGGTAGATACAATCACTACAAGTTCAATCTATCGAATACCTTACAAAACCAAAATATGTTACTGTTGATTTCGAATTAGCTATACATTTCGCTGTGAAATCAGTATGGCCATTATCCGAAATTATAGGTTGTCGTTTTCACTTGACTTAAGCTTGGTACAGGAAAATTGTATCAATAGGGTTAATTTCGGCTTATAAGGATAACAAGTGGTTAATATTTACATTTGGTTTAAATTTTCTCTATCCAAATGCAGTTTCCGATTATTTGGTTGACGATTTTATGTCTGAAATTCCTGATAATCCAAAATACCGAGAATATGCAGATTATTTAGTAGATAAAAACATCGGAGAAAATGCCAATTTCCGTCCAAACATTTGGGCAGCATTACAGCTGATTTAACTAAAACCACCAATAACTGTGAATCTTTTCACTCTCAATTCAATGGACGGTTTTAAAAATCGCATCATAATATTTCTTACATTTTTAGAAATTTTAATTAAAACAGTTCAAACAGGTGTTTATATTATAATCAACAGTTGTGTTAGAAATATACCTAACCCTCGACAAAATGCACAAGTTAAAACCAGATTAAAAAAAACTATAAAAGCAATTGAGAATTATAAAAACAAAAAATTAACGCGTTATAAATATGTACAAATATTTACATTTAATTACAATAAAGATTAGGAATATATTATGTTAAAAAAATCTTTATTTATTTTTTATTATGATTAATTTGATTAATATTTAAAAAAAATCGTGCTATTGACTATTATTACCTATAGCCTAATAATTTTTAATAAAATGTGTACCTATACTAACTATTTATTATTGTTTAAAAGGTGTATTATTGATAATTATTTAAAAAAATTCGTATTATTGACGATAATTTAATTAAAAAAATTGTATAATAGATTATTATAAGAAAAAGAAAAAATTGTAAAAAACAATATATTAGTTTATTATAATTAATAAAAAATATGTAAATACTTTAATAGTTAGTAATAAGTATATAGTTTTTAAAAACAATTTGTATTAATTCTGATTATTGTTTCAAAAAAATGTGTATTATACGGCTATTATTGATTATTATTTTAAAAATATTCGTATAATTAACTATGAATTAAATAAAATTGTATTAATTATTATTTGAGAAAAAAATATATTACTTGATTATAATTATAACAGATCAATTTGTGCAAATTTGCATACCCCAAACGAATCCATTTTCGGCGCAAATGAGTAACACCCTTTGATGGCGATTACCCCCTTGGTTATTTTTTTACTTGAGTTTGAAGTTATAGCGCCGTATGATTTAATGAATATGAAATTCATAAGTCATAAGTCATAACTATAACTTCAAACTTAAGGGGCCTATAAACCAGATCATTTTTTATTGAAAATAGCACATTCTAAATTTAACCATACTCTAGAATGCATAATCCGACATAAGTTTGGACAACGGATTTAGATTTTTTAATCATAGGCTCAATTTCAAGTTTTGACTTGAGGGGGGGGGCTGAATATATTAAAGGCAAGCAGACCATTGCAATGATTTACTTATTTAGGGGGGGGGGAGCATGTGTACCTTGTTGCCCGGGGCAGCAAATTTATATTGATAAATTATTATTGTATATTAATTGTTGAGAAAAAATAAATAAATTTACATAATTTTAATTATTATTTTAAATCTTCTATTAAAAACATTATTATGGCTCGAAAAGGTAATATTGTTATGATCAATTTGTCGGAAAATGATATAAATGATATTATTAACTTACTATTTATAAACAGATTGGTTTTTTAAACGTAAGATAATGATGTGGCTATGCGTTTTGCGTTTATCTCTGCAGCAGTGCCACGAAAGCACGATTAATCGATATTTGATAATATTACGTAGACAAAACACTCCCCGCATGGGTTAGCCCTTTTTGGGTAACGAGTGTGACAACCCCGCGGACCTCAGTTAACCGGTGATGGTGTAGCCTGAAGGGCCTCGAGCCGTCTCAGGTAAGTAGGTGGATATTAAGATCTCGTCACTGAAGCACCGTCACCACAGTGTTGGGCCCTTCATTAATGAAGGTTTGTCGATGGGCCAACACCCCATTACTCTAAAAACACCTCATTGTTAAAAAACTTCTAAACCAGCCTCGGACACTGATTAAGGATAACAGAAATGGAAACGGAAACAGGAAAACTATAAGGAATTTACGGATTGGTACTTGGAATATTAGAACCCTTTTCAAACCAGGAGCATTGAAAATAATTATTGATGAGATAACAAAATATAATTTGCAAATTGTAGCACTACAAGAGATGAGATGGCCGGGTAATGGCAGCATCAAACATAAAGAAACAACGATCTTTTACAGTGGATGTGGGTATGAGAGACATGAATTTAGAGTTGGCTTTATGATAAACGATAGACTATTACATTACGTCAATAAATTTGAAGCCATAAATGAACGAATATACTTATTCATCCGCCTAAAAATTAGTGGCCAGAACATAATAATAATTAATTGCCACGCTCCGACAGAAGATAATGAAGGAGAAACTAAAGACGCTTTCTATGAAGAACTGGAAGAACATATGATTCATTCCCCCGACGCACCATCAAAATAATAGTTGGAGACATGAACTCAAAAATAGGACGGGGAAATGTATTTAGACCAACAATCGGCAAAGAAAGCCTCCACATCGTATCCAACGATAATGGAACTAGTTTTATAAGTTTTGCGATGTTCCGTGATATTATCATCAGCAGTACCGACTTTCAGAGAAAAGATATCTACAAACAGACATGGTTGTCGCCGGATGCGACAGCAAAAAACCAAATCGATCACGTAACGATTGATAAACTGCATCGTTCATGGTTTAAGAACGTTCGTAGCTATCGAGGGGCAGATGGGGATACTGATAATTACTTGGTAGTAGCGACTCTAACTGAATAACTATCGGTAAGATGGAAGAAGAATAAAGGTAGGAATAAAACAAATACAATAGACTTAAAGATCCAGTAGAAATAAGACAATATAGGACAAATATAGCTGAAGAACTTCGAAATATAAATGAAAGGGTAGAAAACACTGCAGCAGATAGTCATGAAACCAAATGGACAATTATTAAAAAGGTTATAAACTCCGCTACAGAAAATCTCAAAACAGAATCGAGATCCAGCAAAAAGAATAGTTGGTTCAATAATGAATGTATGGAAGCGGTTAAAAAACTCAATGAATCCCGTTTGAACATGATACGAAATTCATCGATGGAAAATCAAGCAAAATACAAACATTTTAAAGAGATAGTAAATAAGACTATTAGGAGAGAAAAAAGACTAGCTGAAAAGAAAGCACTAGAAAAACTTGAAGAAAAAAAAATAATAACCCAAGAAAATTTTTCAAACACTAAGTACCTTAAGCAAGGTTTCAAACAACACACACTCTTTCTAAAAAACGACCAGTATGATCTTATCTCGGAACCAGGAGACATAGTACAACATTTTAGGAAGCACTTTGATACCCTACTA